GTTCATGTGGGAAAAATGCAGGGGGACTAGATCCACTAGCTCGTCCGACGATGCTTTGCAGTCAGGTATGTCGAAGTCAAGTACGTAGACTTCGTTGAGCGATCATGCTCGCCCGAAGTATTTATGCGACTCGACCGGTGTGTCAGGAGGAGCGTTGGTGAGAATGAGGTCGCGTGTTTAGGGATCTGTGGCAAGCATGACTCCACAGTCAGAGAGTTGTGCCGTAGACAGCAAATTGCAGCGCAATTCCGGCACAAGGAGCACGTCATTGAAGGTGATGTGCGTGTTGCTGTACGATGATGCCCTGTGCGTTTGCGCGAAGTTGCTCGTTGTTGGCGACAGTGACGTAGGTGGCGGGAGCGCGGCTGATGTTTGAGATGTAACAAACGGTTTCCACCATGTGTTGGCCGCAGAAGCTGTCCAGGTACCAGGTGTTGTGGTTGGCGTTGTTGTTGCGCATGAGGAGTGCGAGACACGGTGTCACCAGGGTCGCCTTATATCTTTTCTCAAAATATTCATCTTCTCTCCATCCACGGGATCGAAGCGCTGGTGATTGTGGGGTGGGTTTTCCCGCAGTTGTATCGGTTGGTGCCGGTCTTGCTATGAAGGGATTGTTCCACCCTTCTTCAGGTTGAATTAGCTCGCCAGCGGGTTCCTCCTCTTCGTCCGGAGTAGCAGCTCGTGGTCGACGCCTTGTCGCCATGTTTGCGATCACATTTCTGGTAGCTCCCGCTTGGGGTGCTTGTGTCAGCTGCTGGTGTTGTTGTTGTTGTGCAAGAGGACAAGAAGCTTGATGTTGAGGCTCGAAGTGAAATTTGGGTGGCGATAGTTGGACCGGGATTTGCATCGATTCGTTGAATGTCCGAAGACCTTGCAAATTTTGCAATAGTGGCGCCTTCGTTGTCGTCGCTCTTCACGATTGTCGGCGTAGAAGGCGAGGCGCTCTCGGCGCAGCGCTGAGCTTGTCTTGCTCGAGTTCATGTCCTGCTGTTCAGTCAGGAGTGCGGTGCATAGTGCGTCTTCTGAGGTAAATCCCATTTGTCGGAGTAGCGCTTTGCAGGGCTTCCACTTAGGCCCGGGTCCTTGGAGGACGATGTTGACGAAGATCTCCTCCAAAATCGCGCTTCTATGCTTTGTGATCTGGTCACGAATGTTCCGACAGCGGTTAAAATATGTATTCGCTTTCCCCATGTGCCCCTTGGTCTCCATGAGTTGCTGCAGGAGCCTGCTGGAGGTGACTGAGTCCTTCGGCTGATATACCTCAACGAGGAGCTTCCAAGCTTCCAAGGCTGTAGCGGCGCTCTCTTTGCATGAGCGTTTGCCGAGTTGCTCCGCAGGCGTCATATTGCGTAGCAACACACTGTACGCCATGAGGGATCCGCTGTAGTACTGAGCCCGGGCGTCTTCGGTGTCTTCCACCGGTTTAGAGTAGGAGCCGTCGAAGTAATGGTAAATCTGCGCCGTTTGTAGGAGGAGCTCGAGCTCAAAACTCCATGTATAGAAGTCCTTGCGGTCAAATGCGCCAGTAGTCTTGATTTTTGAAACGCTGAGAAAGCGTTCTTGCGTAGAATTGATGACTTCATCACTTGGACGGGGGGCAATTGTTGCTGATTTGTCTGTGTCGAGGGAGAAGGTGTGCATGGCGGTATCACGGCTGTTTGTGGCCGGTTGAGCAGGTTGTGCTGGTTGCGAGGAGGTTCCCGCATCGCCTTTGTGCAATGCTTGGAGGTCTTTCTCCATAGTTGACAGTCTCGAGAACAACTGGTCGAGCGCAGCTGTGCTTATAGTAGTTCTTGCTGTCAGAATGATGTAATTGTCTAGCCTGCAGTGGGGTACTCTATAGCGAGTACAACCCAACAAGGGTTTCCTATATGTATCTCAACTGCTGCTAGTGCAAACCCTCCCTTTCTGCTTCTAAACTTTTCCTCGTAAATGTGACATGGTATCAGAGCCTGTCCTTCCTCCTCTTGTGGGCCCACCAACCTGCTTCCGCTGCTACTCGATCTGTCGCATGCCCCGTGGCGTGCGACGGCGCGCGGCGATTTGCTCTCTGGCGCGCGCCCCGAGGCGCGCGGCCCCTTTTCTTCCTGGCGCGCCGGCCCCGCTGGACCTGCGCGCCCACCCCGTCGACCCTCGCGTCGCCTCAGGGGACCCGCGCGCCACCCCCGTCGACCCTCGCGTCGCCCCCGGGGACCCGCGCGCCACCCCTGGAGCCGTACGCGACCCCCCCGCTGCCTCGTCGCGGCGCCCTGGGGAGTCGCGCGCGGCCCTTCGCTGCCCCGTGGTGGCGCCCTGGGGGCCGCGCGCCACCCCTGGAGCCGTGCGCGACCCCCCTTGCTGCCCCGTGGTGGCGCCCTGGGGGCCGCGCGCCGTCCCCCTCGCCGTCCCCCGCGCTCCTGCCCCGTGCCACCCGTTTTAGGGTTTGGGGGTGGGGAGTGTGGGGGTGGCGGTTGTGGGGGTGCCGGTTGTGTGCGCCGTCCCCTACTCCTCCTCCTCCTCCGTCTCCCGCTGCTGCAGCTGCCGCTCAGGGGGGGGTGGGTGTGTGGGAGCCGAAGGAGTGGTGCTAGGGGGGTGACGTGGGAGTGGAGCTAGGGGTGCAGCAGGGGGTGTGTGCTAGGGGCGTGGGGCAGTTGGTGGAGGTTGAGCGGAGGTCGCAGTCGTGTCGCCAGCAGCACCAGTAGTCCGGAGGCTACAATCTCCGGTAGTCGCCAGTCGCCTGTGGGTCAGTTGCTCCAGTCAGGAGGCTACAATCTCCGTGGAGCCAGTTACTCCTGTAGTCCGGGCCATTGCTTCGGTAGCCACTGAGCCAGCAGCTCCTGTGTGTCTGCAGCTTCCGCCGTCGCCTCCCATCTCCTCTCCTCTCACAGTCCCTCCTCCTCCTCACATGCCCTTTGTGACTACCTCTAGCTTTACTTGGGCTTGTGAACTATTTTATAACTGCTTGTTGTGTTGATTACACCCCACTTTGGCTATGGGGGTGTGTCAGAATGATGTAATTGTCTAACCTGCAGTGGGGTACTCTATAGCGAGTACTGTCAAACTTATATGATCTAGCCTGTGTAGGCTGTAGCGGGTTAGATACTAAGGGGTACACAATTCTAGGCTTTCACATTTGTATCACTTTCATTCCTTAGTCATTCCATTTCTCGTTCTAAGTTTCTCATGGTATCGAGCAGGTTCCCTCGTGGGAACTGTTCCTAGGGCCCACCAAGATTTTTTTTTTCCTACCCGGGGCGCGTGCCGCCCTTGCCCGAAGCGCGCCTAGTGTCCCGCCCCTCAGGCCCCGTCGCTGCCCTCTCTAGGCCCTGCGTGGCCCCTTAGCGGCCCCGTCGCCGCCCCTCACGGCCCCGCGACCGCCCCTTACGGCCCCGTCGCCGCCCCTTAAGGCCCCGTCGCCGCCCCTTACGGCCCCGACGCCGCCCCTCACGGCCCCGCGACCGCCCCTTACGGCCCCGTCGCCGCCCCTCACGGCCCCGCGACCGCCCCTTACGGCCCCGTCGCCGCCCCTTAAGGCCCCGTCGCCGCCCCTTACGGCCTCGACGCCGCCCCTCACGGCCCCGCGATCGCCCCTTGCGGCCCAGTCGCCGCCCCTCACGGCCCCGCGACCGCCCCTTACGGCCCCGTCGCCGCCCCTTCAGGCCCCGTTGCCGCCCCTTACGGCCCCGTCGCCGCCCCTTACGGCCCCGTCGCCCCCCCTTTCGGCCTCGTCGCCGCCCTTCAGCGGCCCCATTGCCGCCCTTCCGCGGCCCCGTCGCCGCCCTTTCGCGGCCTCGTCGCCGCCCTTCAGCGGCCTCGTCGCCGCCCCTCAGCGGCCTCGTAGCCGCCCTTCCGCGGCCTCGTTGCCGCCCCTTGCGGCCCCGTCGCCGCCCTTCGCGGCCCTGCCGCCCTTCCTCGGCCCCTCAGCCGCCCTTCCCGGCCCCGTCGAGCAGCCGAGCCGCCGTCACCGCCGAGCCGCCGAGCCGCCCCTGCCGAGCCGCCGAGCTGCCGAGCCGCCGAGCCCCCGAGCTGCCGAGCCGCCGAGCCGCCGAGCCGCCCTGCAGCTGAGCCGCCGAGGCGACGAGCCGCCGAGCCGCCGAGCCGCCACGCCACCGCAGCCGCCACGCCGCAGTCCCTGCCGTCGCGGCCCTGTCCCTGCCGGCCTGCCTCGGCCCGCCCCACCTGCCTGGTAAGAGCAGCGCCTCTGCCACTGCACTGCCCTACCCCACTGCTCTCTCTGCCAGTCTACTGCTGTCATGGCCACCCCCAGTGTTCTCTCCTTTGACGCTGAGGGTCGGGCTGTTGACTTTGAGGTCTGGGTAGATGATCTGCAGCTTTTCCTACAGTGCGATAGGGCAGACGGTCTCTCTCTGTTTGACCTCACCTCTGGTGCCTCTCCTGCCCCTGCTGCTGATGCTGACGCCACTGTTCGCTCACAGTGGACCACGCGCGATGCTGCTGCTCGCCTTGCTGTGCGCCGGCACTTGCCGACCGCTGAGCGCGCGCATTTTAGTCAGTACAAGAGTGCTAAGACCTTGTACGACGCTGTCGTTGCACGCTACTCTTCCCCTGCCACTGCTGCCCTTAGCCGCCTCATACTGCCGTACCTCTTCCCTGACCTCGCCGCTTTTCCCACAGTCGCTGACCTCATTACGCACCTTCGCACTAGTGACATTCGCTACCGCGCTGCGCTTCCTGCTGAGTTCTGCGCCAGGAACCCCCCCCCTATGTACATCACCCTCTACTACATAGTCACCCGGCTCCCTGACACCCTTCGCTCGGTCAGGGACCACTTCCTCTCTGTTTGCCCCACCACCCTCACCGTTGACCTCCTCGAGGAGCGCCTCCTAGCAGAAGAAAAGAGTATAGTCGCTGTAGGAGCCTCTCGTGGTGACCCTCGTACCCCTGTCTTTGAGGGGTGCTCCCCCTCCCCCCTCTTGCCCTCTGTTGCCTCTGCTGCTGCGGCCGACCTCGTTGGTCTTGAGTCGGTCGGCGCGGCGTCTGCCCCTAGCGGGAGACGCCGCTCAAGCAAGGGCAAGGGGGGCAAGGGCGCTGGAGGAGCTGGCGGGGGCGGTGGAGGCGGCGGTGGAGGCGGCGGAGGGGGTGGGGGTGGCGGTGGGAGTGGTGGCGGGAGTGGGGGCACTAGTGGCGGCAGTGGAGGCGGAGGAGGCGGCGGCGGTGGCGGTGCGAGCGGAGGTGGTGGAGGTGGAGGCGGTGGTGGAGGTAGCGGCGGCGGAGGTGGAGCTGGTCGGGGCGGCTCTTCGCAGAGGGTCGGCTCCGGTGGTGGTCAGCGCCAGCAGCAGCAGCAGCAGCGCACTAGTGAGACCCCTTCCCCCCAGCAGCTTCGTGAGTGGTACACTGCTCGTCAGCGGGGTTGGGGTGCTGGCCCCTGTACCTACGTTCTACGTACAGGCGACCACACGGGTGAGCAGTGTGGGGGTCCGCACTCCACCCAGCGCTGCTTCGGCCGCCTGACGGACGCTTGGCGTCACCAGTTCCCCGCCGCTACTGAGATCCCTCGCTGGGGCGAGCTGTTTAGGGCGGGTGTTGCGATCTTTGATCTTGATTATGATGCTATTCTTGCTGCAATGTATGCTGTGACTATTAGTGATGAGGGTGACTGTTACCGGTGTTTTCCGCCTGACCCGGGCATTGGTGAGGCTGCTGCTCTAGGTGCTGGTGAGGCTGCTGCTCTAGGTGGTAGTGCGTCTGCTGCCCCAGGTGCTGGTGAGTCTGCGCTCTCAGGTACCGCGTCGGCTCCGGCCACCCACACCTTCACCCTTGACTCGGGTGCTTCCCGCTCCTTCTTTCGAGACCGCACCATGCTTACGCCACTTAGTCGGCCAGTGGCAGTCTCCCTGGCAGACCCCTCTGGGGGTCCTGTCCTTGCCCACTTCTCCACAGTTTTACCGTGTCCGGCGGCCCCTTCTGGCACCCTGTCGGGTCTTTACCTCCCCTCGTTCTCTACGAACTTGGTGAGTGGTGCTGACCTCCAGGATGGAGGGGTTCACCAGTTCACTCCTGCGAGTCAGCAAGTGACCCACTGTACCTGTGCTCGGATGGGCCGTCACTTGGCCACGTTTACCCGTCAGCCGGGGTCGAGCCTGTACACACTGACTACTGAGTCTCCTCCGATCGCTGAGTCTGCTCAGGTAGCCGCGTCGGGTCAGGTGTTTGCTGCGGCGTCCAGGTCTGGTCCTGAGTCTGCCCCCTGCTCGTGTCGTCTCCTGTCTCACCAGACTCTCCTCTGGCACCACCGCCTTGGTCACCCCTCCCTGCCTCGTCTTCGAGGCATGGCCTCCCGTGTCCTTGTCTCTGGTCTCCCCCGGTCCCTCCCTCCCCTTCCTCCGGGGCCTGCCCCCACCTGCGTTCCCTGCGTCGAGGGGCGGCAGCGCGCTGCTCCTCACTCCTCCGAGTTTCCTCCGACAGAGGCTCCGCTGCAGACGCTTCACATGGACGTGTGGGGCCCAGCCCGCGTCCGTGGACAGGGTCACGAGCGTTACTTCCTGCTGGTGGTTGACGACTACTCGCGTTACACCGCAGTCTTCCCCTTGCGCAGCAAGGGTGAGGTCACTGAGGTGTTGATCACTTGGATCCGCGCAGCTCGTCTCCAGCTCAGAGAGAGTTTCGGCTCGGACTTTCCTGTTCTGCGTCTGCACTCTGACAGAGGCGGAGAGTTCTCTTCTGACCTTCTCCGAGCCTTCTGTCGTGCACGAGGCATTCGCCAGACCTTCACGCTTCCGGACTCTCCGCAGCAAAATGGGATTGTTGAGCGCCGCATTGGCATGGTCATGGACGTCGCTCGTACGTCCATGGTCCATGCGGCTGCCCCCCATTTTCTGTGGCCGTTTGCGGTTCGGTACGCGGCACATCAGATCAACCTTCAGCCCCGGGTCTCCATGCCGGAGACCTCCCCTGCTTTGCTGTGGACGGGGAAGGTTGGCGATGCGTCTGCGTTCCGTGTCCGGGGATCTCGGGCGTTTGTCCGCGACTTGTCTGCGGACAAGCTGTCCCCTCGTGCTGTTCCCTGCGTCTTCCTTGGCTTCCCCCCTGACGCGCCGGGCTGGCAGTTCTACCACCCCACCTCGCGTCGTGTTCTGTCCTCCCAGGACGTCACCTTTGACGAGTCGGTTTCCTACTACCGTCTCTTCCCCTACCGCACTGCGTCCCTCCCCCCCCCGCCGCTCTTCCTTACGCCAGGTCCCCCTCCGGTAGACCCCCTCCCCCCTCAGGGTCCTGCCCCATCAGGTGTGTCTCAGGTAGACGCAGTCGACCCTGTCGAGGTAGCTTTTGACTCTGGTGCTGCTAGGGGTGCTGAGCCTGCGGGTGCTGGGTCTGGGGGTGCTGAGCCTGGGGGTGCTGACTCTGGGGGTGCTGAGCCTGGGGGTGCTACGCCTGGGGGTGCTGCGTCTTGGGGTGCTGAGCCTGGGGGTGCTGCGTCTAGGGGTGCGGAGTCTGAGGGTAGTGGACCTGCTCGCGTGGCGTCTGGCGGTGCTGGGCCTGGAGGTTCTTCGGGTGCTTCGTCCCGGCGGGAGCTACTCTCTCCACAGGAGCTGCGTAAGTGGTTTGCCCGGCGCTGGAGGCGAGCTGCTGGAGCTGGAGGTGTTGCGGGTGCTGGAGGTTCTGCTGCTACTGAGGGTGCTGGAGCTGGACCCGCTGCGTCTTCTGGTGGTCCGGCTGGAGCTGGAGCTGCTGGGGGTGTTGGCGCTGAGGGTGCCTCTGGTGCTGGTGCCTCTGAGGGTACTGGAGTTGGCGCTGCTGGAGCTGGGGGTGTTGGCGCTGGTGGTTCTGCTGGCGCTGGTGCTTTTGAGGGTGCTGGAGTTAGCGCTGTTGGAGCTGGAGGTACTGCTGGCGCTGGTGCTGCCGCTGGGGGTACTAGTGCTGTCCCTGCTGGTTCTGGAGGCGCTGCACGGCCGAGGCCGTACTTCGTTCCGCTCCTTGAGCAGGTTCTTGGTCTCCCGCCCTCTACTGGTCCTGCTCCTCCCTTAGAGGGTCCACAGCCTGTCCAGTCGCGGTCACAGTTACAGCCCGCCTCCCCCCTACCTGCTCCTTCTCCCTACACTGGTCCTACTGGAGGTCTTGCTGAGCGTCGTGAGCCTGCGTCTCGTCCTGCGTCGCCTGTCCGTGCTGCTCGCACTAGTGGTCGTGGTTCGCGTCACCGTCCTCCCCCTGTTCCCGGCACGTACCAGATGTCTCTGCGTCCCTCCACTGCTCCGCTGCGTGCCCCTTTGCCTTCTCCTCCTGCGTCCTCTCTTCCTGTTGTTGCTGACCCGGAGTCGGACTCCCTTCGTGCTGCCAGTCCGGCTGTCACGCGTCTCCTTGCTACTGTCGTCACTGACCCTTCCTTTGAGTTCGCTGCTGCGTTTGCCTTAGTTTCTGAGCTTGTTGACTTCGCTGCTCGCTGTTGCCTAGACTACGCTGCTAGTCTTGTCGCTGAGTCTGAGTCTGTCTGTCCTCCGTCCGTCGGGGGTGAGTGTGCCCTTGGCACGGACGTCCTTGAGGATAGGCAGGAGGAGTTCCAGTGCTTTGCTGCTGCTTCACCTCATCTCGTGTCCATGCTGCTTGCCCCTGCGGGAGACCCGGATGCACCAGACATCCCGACTCCGCGCTCTTACGCGGAGGCGATAGAGGGTCCCTACTCCTCTCAGTGGCAGGCAGCCATGGACGCAGAGATGGCTTCCTGGAAGTCCACAGGCACCTACGTCGACGAGGTTCCCCCACCTGGGGCGAACATCATCAGTGGCATGTGGATCTTCAGGGTGAAGCGGCCCCTGGGTTCTCCGCCTGTCTTCAAGGCGCGATACGTGGCTCGAAGCTTCAGTCAGCGGCAGGGAGTTGACTACTTTCAGACCTTTTCTCCCACCCCGAAGATGACCACTCTTCGGGTACTGCTGCACATAGCTGCTCAGCGCGACTACGAGCTTCACTCTCTTGACATCAGCACTGCTTTCTTGCAGGGCAGCCTGCACGAGGAGATCTGGCTACGCCGCCCACCTGGCTTCACTGGGTCTTTTCCTCCTGGTACCCAGTGGAGCCTCCGGCGGCCAGTCTACGGTCTCCGCCAGGCACCTCGTGAGTGGCACGACACACTGAGGACTACACTTGCGGCTCTTGGGTTTGCTCCTTCTACTGCCGACCCGTCGCTGTTTCTGCGCACCGACGCTTCTTTGTCGCCGTTCTACATCCTCGTGTACGTCGACGACTTGGTCTTTGCCACAGCTGACACTGCTGGACTCGCCCACGTGAAGTCCGAGCTGCAGAAGAGACACACGTGCACAGACCTGGGTGAACTGCGCAGCTACCTTGGCTTGCAGATCACCCGGGACAGAGCACAGCGCACCATTATCCTGACTCAGTCACACATGGTGCAGCAGGTCCTTCAGCGCTCCTCGCCTCAGGCCACTCCTCTGTCTACTCGCCACTCGCTCTCAGCTCTGCCTTCGGATGAGTCCGTAGAGTCGAGTGGCCCGTACCCAGAGCTTGTTGGCTGCCTCATGTACCTGATGACCTGCACTCGACCTGACCTTGCATACCCTCTTAGCATTCTGGCACGCTATGTTGCTCCTGGGAGACACAGACCAGAGCACATGGCTGCAGCGAAGAGGGTGTTGCGCTACTTGTGCAGTATGTCGGGCATGGGGCTTGTGCTTGGAGGGCGGAGTCCAGTGGTCCTCACTGGTCACGCAGACGCTTCTTGGGCTGACGACCAGGCTACGCAGCGGTCGTCACAGGGTTACACCTTCAGCCTTGGTTCCGGCTTTGTTTCGTGGCGGTCTACCCGCTCGTCTTCTGTTCTCGGCTCCAGTTGTGAGGCTGAGATCTACGCAGGGGCCATGGCTGCACAGGAGCTACGCTGGCTCACCTACCTGCTGACTGACCTAGGAGAGCCGCCTCGTTCTCCTCCAGTTCTGTACGTAGACAACAAGGCTATGCTGGCCTTGTGTCGGGAGCACAGACTGGAGCACAGAACGAAGCACATCGCTCTTCGCTACTTCCTTGCTCGTGAGTTGCAGCAGCGAGGTCAGCTGCGCCTTGCGTACGTGGCCTCTGAGGCCAACACTGCTGATATCTTCACCAAGGCACTTGCGCCTTGTGACCATCAGCGCTTCTGTACTCTGTTAGGTCTTGTACCTACCTTGCCTCGCTCACTTCTTGACCTTGCTTGTACTGTTACATATATATATACCTGCTCTTGCTTGTTTAGCGTTATATATATGTGTGTGTACTCATGCATGTGAACTGGCCTTGTGGCCTTGAACTTGTGCTCAGAATGTGTGGTGACGTTGTGATCCACCCTGAGCTTGCTTTGTCTTGCTTTGCTTGACTGGTCTTGTGACCCCTTGTTCTCCCCCACTTTGCCTATGGGGGTGTGTCAAACTTATATGATCTAGCATGTGTAGGCTGTAGCGGGTTAGATACTAAGGGGTACACAATTCTAGGCTTTCACATTTGTATCACTTTCATTCCTTAGTCATTCCATTTCTCGTTCTAAGTTTCTCAAGTACAACCCAACTAGGGTTTCCTATATGTATCTCAACTGCTGCTAGTGCAAACCCTCTCTTTCTGCTTCTAAACTTTTCCTCGTTAATGTGACAGTTGCCTCATTTTTCGCAGCCAAGTTGGCGTGCCTTTCGGCCGTCAGATTCGTTTGGC